GATAACTAATAGGTTGATGGTATGAAGACCGTCCAAAATCATCTTTGTGGTGTAGAAAAGGACACTACCTAGAGATATGTCTACTACCTCGACAATTATGACACTCAAATTGGTTTTGATTAGTAGCATAGGATTCTATATTAGAGGTAAAAGAATGAAAAATAGTGTGTGATCGAGGGAATATACACGGAGTAGTACTATGGCGATGCCGACCGTGGCCTCTCTGCCCTCATCCATAGCCATGAGAAAGGCTGCCATGATATGTAGAATAGGGAGTCATTGGGGTAGGAATAATATCCGTAACTATGACATCTTGGGAGAGTTACCATTATTCACCAAGGAGAAGCCTAAATAAGTCATTAAAAAAAAAACAAAGACTAACTTAGCTTCCAAAGACCTTACAAATGGTTTGTATACATGACCAAGACCAGCAAGGATAACATTAACAAATTCATCTCAAGATATTGGATCACCAAAGGTTGTAAGGTGATCGGATAAAGCCTTTGCTTTTTGCATATAAGTGAAGATATCGTTGTTGCCTTGTCGAAGTCAATGTAGTTGTGACTTGAGTCGACAAACTTAAGATTTAGAGCCTAAAGCATAGGTTAAAGTGAGCCCTCGTCATGGATCTCTAGCAGTAGAGACACTAACAATGTGAGTGAGGATAGACTCCATCAAAGAGGAATTAATCTAGCTTAAGACCAGTCGATCTTGCCTATACGAGAGATATATATAGAGGATTTTGGGTAGCATTGCCAAGTGTAGGAGATGGTGGTGCCATGGTTCCATCAACATGATGAACTAAATCTTTACCATGTAAAATAGGTAATATTTGGGTTTGCCAAAGAAGAAAATTGGTGGAGTTTAATTTAACGAGTACAATTATGAGACATATATGGGTAGGAGGCCGATAGTATGGTGGTTGTTTGGATAGAGATAGTGGCTATAGAATGGAGTTCATCAATAATGTGAGGTGTAGTAGTTATGGTTGAGAAAGGAGAGAAAAAAACTTAGACAAGTAATTATAGGGAGTAATGGCGGACGCAATATGTTTAGAAAAGAAATGAGCGAACTAGATAGTATGGTATAAAGAGAAAATAGTAGAAGCGAGTATGTTTAGAAAAGAAAAGGAAGAGCGAAGTAGTGTGTTATGGAGAAACAATAGCATGTAGTAGTGGTCGGAGAAGAAAAAGAAGAAAAAATACTTAGGCGAGTAGCTAGGAGAGAGATTGACAAAACAATAAGCATAGAGAGAAAAGGACACAAAGTGATGGAGGGACAATATTGTTAGTAACCAACAATGATAGGTGTGAACAAGAAACATAGTGGTTATGGTAGAGAAGAAAAAAATTAAACACACTTGGTCGTTAAGCCTGGAGTGGCTACGATACCATAAAAAAGTTTATACATAGATAAATTCTACATTGTGGCTACTCGTATATTTAGTTATAAATAGGTCACAAAGAGATACGGTAGTTGAGATTGAAATATTCAAAAGAACTATTAATGTATCTATACTTGTATTAGAATAAAATCTTACTTTATCCGTACTATGCTTAAAACGAGTCCTAACTTAATTTGTGATCTTATCATAATGTTCAAATCTCAACTATAGGCGCAAACTCATCATCTCACCGGGTTTCAATTTGAATAATGGATCTATTATCCTAATATACCATGTAAAACCAAGTTTTGTAGACAATAATGAGATCTAGGAAAAGTCGGACTTTATAACACTAACTTGATGTAAGCGGAGTAGTTCATGACGACAATGAGTCTTCTTGATTGTTGTGTCCGTAGGTTCTTTCAAAGAGATTGGTGGTGGTCGAAGGTTTGTTCAATGAGATAAAGAGTAAAGACTAGAGATGATTTGACGATTCAAGATGATCGTGCTCTGCTATCGGCTATGCCGACTTCGAGAGAGAGAAGAGGAGAAAGACGTTTTAAACTTTTGTTTTTTTCTTCTTTTTGTTAGGCATTTAATTTAGATTAATACTAGTTTTTTATCCGCACAACATTGTGGATCGGACAGAACATACAAAATTATTTTAAAAAATAATTTCCATTCGATAGTACGTGTTATATTATGCATATACCAAAATATATCAAATCAAAAGCAATATATATATATTGTTAATTTCATGTCTAACTAATTATTCATTATATTTTTCATAATTTTTTTTGGCTAAAAAGAACACAATTGATTCTTCTATATCTGGATTCTTAACTAAAAACTTGTGAGAAAATTCAAAAATCAATGGATTCTTAACTAATTTTTTTTATAGTTTTTTTCCTCAAAAAAAAAAAAAAATGAAACAAATTATCTAAAAAACACTTTCAATCTTTAGATTAATTTTTTTTTTATAATGTAAATTAATTTTTTTTAAAAAGTTATATATATATATAACCATGCTATTATCATTTAAAAATTTAAAGAATTTGTGATATAAATTATATCAATTTTTTAAAGAGTAAATAACAATATTCTAAAAATTCATTGAAAAATTCATACAAAGTTCTCTCTCTCCTCCCTCCTCTCTCTTCATTTCTCTCTCCTCATAGCAATTAGGGACCAAATTACAATACAAAAAAGTTGTTGATCAAAATAAAATTTATTGAAAAAATAAGAGATGAAAGAACAACACGAGCAAAATTTTACATATAAAATGCTTAAAAAGCCTCAAAATTATTTTTTTTAAAAAAACTATTCAATGCATGGTACAAAGAGGGTGAATAGCGTTGTGGGCGAAATAAATATCTAAAAAAACACTTAAAATAACAAAAATATCACTATTTTAAAATCATAAAAATACCATTAAATAAATAGTATTCTATGAGTATGTGAATAACATAAGAATAGTGAAAATCCCATCTCTTTTAGAGTTTTTTGTAATTTTTTTATTTTCATTTTATTTTGAAATATACAATTAAGGCAACTATCCTTTTTTTTAGTTTCATCTGACTTTATGTGTGATCATAATTGATGAAGAAACCTATTTTTTATCCAAAAAAAAAAAAGAATCGTAATAGTTAAATTAAAATAAAATAAAATAAGATGTTTATCTCAATGTAACCAAAAATTCATAATGTTTTTGGATCATTTAGCCAACTATTATTCATGTATTTCTAAGAGTCAGAATATTGAAGGACTGGAGGGGAAACAAAAAAATTGCTAATTAGAGGGCAAAACAAGGCAGATTGTCGGTGCTGAGTCTGATCTAATGCATTAGGATCCATACCTTTAATTGGATGTGGGGCCGTCCATAAACGAGAAATTAGTTTATAATTGGTAATGAGAAATGACCTCAATTGGTCAATAAAGGTGCAGCCTTGTTTGTTTTGATTGAGAAGGGATAGGTTATGGACCGACAAGAATGCTACACGTGCTGCGATAGTACTAAACGACTCATTATCAAATATGAAGTTTTGTTGCGACTTCTAACCATGGATTGCTTCTTCATGGAGCTTTCTTGCAAAGTTCTCTTTAATCTCTTACCCATCCCCTAATGCATTAACCGAAGTTACTTGTCACGCAAATTGCATCCAATGCCCAAAAACCAAATATTTTGCTGCTGTTGATAACAATAATAAGCCTAATTTATCATGCACAGAACACAACCGCAGCAGCTACCAGATTCAGAACTTTTAGAATCTGTGTTGCTGTAAGGTTAACCTGAGAGTTCCAGATTTGATTGATTTTGGATCACATAACGATAAAAGAACAAACGCACATCAGCTATAGAAGCGTACAAGTAGTCTTCATTGTCAACTTGATTTTGGGGTCGACAATAATAAAAAATTCCTCAGGACATATACATCATCCAAAGTAATGAGCTTTCGAGCAAGGATTTTCTCTTCTTCTACTTTTTATTTTTATTTTTTTAAGGTGAGGTCCCTTCCGTCAATACTCGATGCTGACATTGCAAGATATGACTAGTGAAATACATTAAAAATTTGATTGCAGAAGCAATAATCCTCGTAGAAATCCAAAATCTAATCCCTACTGCCGTTGTCAATTTGTTATGCCACGTCAACATCAGACCTGTGGTTCGAAAACAACATCCCTGTAACTTTTCAAGCGTGCATTTAGCTTTGACAAGATGTTATCCAGCCAGGTGAAAACTGCATGGGCAAGCTGCTTGCAGAACAGGACCACACAACTCTTAAATGTAAATGGTCCTCCATATGGACCTACCAGTGCCATTTCCAAAGAAATTTCAATTATAATTACTTGGGCCATCATTGCATATCTTTCCACAAGGGAAGGGACCTCTTTCAACCTGTCAACTATTCCAAAAAATTAAAGCTGCGTACATGGGTGGAGTGAATGAAGAAAAAGAAGACGAGAATAAATCGACAGGGTGCTATATACTGCCTTTTTACAAGAGAAACTTAGACTACTGCAGTTTATTGTTAACAAGGGTACAATGGGGTCAAATTAAAAGCCATTTACAGAATAAACTTCCACGAAACCTCCAGCAAAATTCACATCACATTACACTTGTCTTTTGATTTTGCGTCAAACCTGGAGGAAGAAGAAGAAGAAGAAGAGGTTTTCCCACTGCTTCTTGGCACCTGCCAAAAAAATATCCATATCTTGTCAATCAGTAATCATATATGGTTATAAGCTTTAACTAAAAAAGGTCTAGCCTGCCCCATTAGAATAAAAATCTAAACAAAAATTGCATGATAGCCAAAAAAAACAAAAGATCTACAGTCAGAACAAATCATCTCTCTATGCAAAGCACGACCTCACCCTTTAACTCTATGCCATCCTAAGATACTGCTAAATGTAAGGTTCTAATCAACGACCATGAATGATAAATCATATAAATCAAACTGCCCAATTGCCAGATGAACAATAGAAGACGGGAAATTCACAAACTCCATGTCAAGTTCAGACTTTAGATGTACAAGAAAAGTCTAAAACCCATCCAAATCGTAAACATCTTGTGATTATTGATAGCCAACAAAATATCCAAAACATCCAAGCGTATAATTTACAAACGATCTACCTGGGGGCCTGTGATTAGTCTTGAACCACCAGTACTAGATGCTTGCTGCACATTATGGCGTTGCGGCGGCTGCTGCTCAAACTCCTGTTGCTGCAGAGCTATTGCCAGTTGCAGATCAGCACTGCCATAATAGCACAATTAGTACATACATTTATGCATAGAGATCAGTAAATCAGTAATGGTCATGTATCCACATTCCAACTAAGATTAAATGAGTGCATCAGCAACAAAAGTAAAAAGATTACTTTATATCCAAACCCGCTTGTGCAGCACTATCAATGGTGGCAAGATAGTCCTGAGACATGTAAATTAAAAATAAGTTCTATAGAAGCAAAATATACAAAGATGAGAAGTCTTGACAATATTTTAAACAAAAAAAAGTACATACAGCAGTGCTGGTCATGGCATTGTGCTCATTCCATGGGTCATTTGATTGACTTTCCACCTTGAATTCCTTGAAGTTGCCTGTCATAAACAATGTATCTCCATTCACCTGAAGTCATGGGAAGTTCAGATTAGGAATCATATTCTCAAGGGAAAAAAAGATCAATATACCAAACTCCACAAACAATGCCTATAAAGAACAATTCAGTAAGTTATTCACTAAGGTGTTGCAAATTAAGAAATCTGAGATATAACTTTTGCTTCTCATAGTTTTGTTTTCTATTTTGAGGTTACAGAAGAAAATTGGATAGAAGTCAGAGAAAATCGCTTCATTACTCATAGGCTTTTAAGAGTTAGGAGTTTAAAGGAAAATCTTTATTATCATTGCCTTCTATTAAGATGCCCAATGCAGCATCTCTGCCAGCAAAATCGCATTAATTTTGACTAGATGTGAATGACACACCCCAACCCAGATTTTAATATAAAACCAAATATGTCCTTGCAAACTAGTTTTGACTAGAACTGGAATAGGGAACTGACTTTAGTATAATATTTATCTAATACCTTAACAAAGAAGATATATGAGCAGAGCCTTACCTCATTTAGTTTCTCCCACACCAAATCAGGCTGATTAATGTAACCTTGGTCTGTAGCTAAAAGATACAGCTCACCATCATACTGCAAACCAAACGGGAGTAGATACACCATACAATTTATGTTCAGAAAAAGAAGAAAAGGAAACTAAATAGTGTTTCTTCAAACTGGTCACTAATAACAGGTCTAATTCAAAATCAGAAGCTGCAACATTGAAGGCTAAGCCATAAAAGAGTGCATCCCAGCCTGTAACTAACCTTAAACATGGTGCTAAAGTGATTGTTACGGAAAAACACACAGAGCTCACGCTCTTTAAGCCCATCTTGTAAGCAAAAGAGGCTGCAAAATATATTAAGGAAATCAGATGAAGAACGTCCCCAGATCCAGCAAAAAATAATAATAATAAATAAATAAACAAGGCATTGGGAGATTCTATAGCCAAGCGGTGGGCCAATATACCCATAAAACGTCAACTGACTAGCATTGTTCTTCAAAAAGTTCCTTATCAGCTCCCCTAATAGAATTGAAAACATGTCAGATACATTCAATATATTAACTTAGCACATATTTGTGCATACAAGAGGGTGTAAAAGAAACAGGTATACAAATAAAATCCAAGACAACTAACATACTCCATTCTTTAACACAAATCATCACTCACCTTCCTGTGGAGTGATTTCATCCTTAGAGCTCACAGTTTTATCAGCTTGTTCTGCAAGAATCACCTCACCTTCATACATAGGCTCTCGCTCTTCATAATTTGAAGTTCCTGAATCCAAAATGCATTCTTCTCCCTCGTATATGGGTTCACTGCCATCAACACTTGAAGTAAAGGTATCAGGTGCATCTATGTTCTTCATTCTGCCACTAGATGAATCTGACTCTGGAACTGGTGAATCTAAACCTCGTACTTCCACCAAGTCATGCCCACTTGATATATCTGCTGGTTCATGAACCTCAGTTATTGAAGTGGACTGATTCTCAAACTTCTGATCGGTATCTATAATATCCACAGGGTCTCCATCCAAAGATGCAGCACTCTTTGCACAAGAAAGGGACACTTTGCCTTGAATCTCAACAAATGTGTCAATACTATGATTCTTAATCGCATCATTACAAGTGATATGTTCTCCAGATTCTGTACATGCTGATTGCTCAAAATCATCGGTCGGATCAGTTTTCAACGAAGAGCAAGCCAGTTCCACTGGGGGAGTTTCCAAGAATGTCAGATTATTATTATCATCATTGCTCAATGCACTAAAATTGCCATCGCTAACATGCCCCTCTGATGTCTCTAAGGAAGCCACAGTCACAGTCCCCTTCAAAGGTGTACTTTCATCTGAACCAACAGACACAACCCTTTCATCAACATCAGCTACAAGAGAATCACCCACTGAACTTGGCAACACAGCCTCTGACAATTTTAAGACCCTCAATAACTCTGCTTCTTCTTCTAAATCCCCTTTTCTTCCATTTTGGTGATCTGAGACTGAACGTGGAGAATCATCAAAAGATCTAGCTTTTGAAAGACAGGGAGAAGGAACACCCAAAGCTGCAGTTGTAGCAGCAACAAAGTCAACGCAATCTTCCTCGGTCTTATTTTTACTATCTTCTCCGGTCACATTTTTACTTTCATCCTCCATGTTTCTAGTTTCAAGAGCAACAAGCTCCCCCATAAGAGTATTATAGGACTTTGGCCCAATGGCATTAGCGGTATCATAGTCCTAGTGCATATGATTAAAGAAAATCAATCATCTCAATGTTAAAACCAAATCAAGACATCCAACACTGGAGGCTTTTTAATAAAAAGCCATGCCGTTTAAGGAACAAGGGAAAAAATATTGCCAACTTTACATCCTGATAATTTTAACTACACATTTCCCCAACATAATGCAACTAACAAAATATGCTAATTCAATTACAATGTTCTGAACAACTTTAAGAACTAGGCAACTTACAAATAACAAAATATAAAAGACAGTAAAAGGAAAGCATAGTGCCCATCCAGATATATTGGTAAAACCCATACAAATTGTGAAATAGCAAATCCCTTCTCAGCAACAACATAATAACTGAGATCTATCCAAACAGAAAGAACCTACAACAATACATATAAGAAAATGGTCTCCATCTGATGAAAGGAAATAGAGTAAGTTTTAACGGTAGCTGATGTAGGAAGCACCCACAAAAGCTAACATTACACAATCATTGGGAAAAGAACAAGATTTCAATGACATAATTTAGGATCTTGGACCTACATGGAGTGGAGATCTAAATGAGTGTGGTTCCCAGATGACCTCCATCCATGAAAACCTATTATCAGTGAAGCCTTCTCCATCATGTGTAGTTGGTGAAATAATGTGAATTCATCTCATGCATGCCTACCCGCAATTCTAGTTTCCCTTTCAAGACGAGTAGAACATGAACAGACAGACATACAACTAATTCCCCAAAAAAAAAAAAAAAAACAACGGAGGTTCAGCAAATAGCAAGAAGATGGTGCCAGAAAGTTTTTTCTCTGCTAACTTTGGAAAGAGAGGTTATAAGAGGTCCCTAAGTTTGCAGACAGGCAACTGTTTGAAAATCTTCTAAGCCCTTCAAGTCCTAGCTCATTCATACTCGTGATCAGTTTACAGTCTCTTAATCTAGAAAGTGTGAGGCTTCCTCTCCTTACTATTTCAAATCTCCACAATCAAGAATCTCTTCCTAGGCAATTCCATTGTGGTCAAACTTACACTCTCGTGAATCCTTGTCCTTTAGCCACCAAGTTTAAGTTATTTTAATGTTACTGATCTACAAGAAACACTGAGCTTGACATTTTTAGTGCCCTCCATGTTTTTCATGCCCAACTATATAGACATGCCAATGTTTTCATTTTGTCATTTTCCCTCGTATGCTTGCTGGCCATTACCTGAAGAGGCATCCAAGCTTATAACTTTAATGACATAGCATTCATTTTATTAGGCACATGTTAATGTGAAGTATATATAAATGAAAATCAAAGAAAAAGGGAGCATTCAACAGAACCTACACTAATGTTACCTACTTAAAATAAAATGCAGCAGATGTTGGCAATTCATAGAGATGGAACATGGGACAACATAGCTTTAATCTGAGAAATATCGATAATCCCCTACATGGAAGAGGGTGTTTGATAAACTCAAAGAACCAGTACATTTGCCTAGAAGAGAAAACAAGAGTGTTAAGACAGGTAGAACCAGGCTGCTTCTTGATGCAGACAACGAAGGAAGCCAAACTCGAGTAGTTGATAAGGGTATTTTAGTAATTTCAGATCTGCTGGCAAATCTGAAATTGTAGTATTTCTGTTGAAGTATTTTATTAGTCCTAAAGTTATTTTCCTATTCTAAAATAGAAATAGTTATAAGTTTTCCTAATCTAATTAGGAATAGTTATGTTGGAGGTTTAGAAATCCTTATCCTAATTGGATTCGGACTTCTACAGCTCTATAAATACAGTACGTAGTCTTTCAATATTTAGTATGCAATGATATCAAATAATTTCCAGCAATTTCTTTTGATTGTGTGTCTCAATCTCCCTTAGATGTGACTCCTAAGAACCCTAGGTGTGAAGCTTAGGTTTTTCTATCATCTAGGTATGACTCCTAGAAACCCTATTAGTGTGACTCTAATAGTTCTACAGTTCCCAGTAGAAACCCACACTAATACAGCCCTAAACAGCCTCCAACTCAGATCCAGAACAGCCTCCAAAGCTGTCCTGCATCACTTATGCTCCTTCAGCTCTCCCTAATTAAGCTTAAAACCATTAGTATTAACAACCATTAATCAGGCCCACTCTAAATTACAAAGGGCAGAGCATTCCAAAAACTGTCATTATGCAGTTATCACCCAAGCAAAGTTAAAATTGAAGGAAGGGCAAATAAAGTATAATTAAGAAAAGGTCCCTGCATTAACACCACCATACAGGCAACCAGGCATCGATGGCATTCCAAGGACAAACAAAACTGGAGTGAGATTAATTTAATTTAACTGAAATATAAAATGCGATGCTTGGAAAGAGCATACCTGGGGATCAACTATCCAACCATGATATAAAGGAATGTCAAGCAAATCAAATATGGCACATTCTCGGGTAAACTCAAAATCATCTATCCTGCATGGTCGTATACATTAGTTAAAGAAAGAAGTACAAGCAGTGAGAGAAAGAGAGATGCCAACCTCCTAAACTTTAGATTTACATCAATTCCAGTTGCAAGCCGTGGAAGCAAATCAATAGCATCTGCAATATTCTGCTGTTGATTTTCGACATATCCTGCATCTTTATTCTGTATGGTGTGAAAATCAGTAAAAATAACATAGAACAATTAAGAATAAATATAACGAAGCAAGCAAGAAAATCTGCTCATAGTTATTACATTTACATTACTGTTGGAATCAATCAACCGTTCTGCGACAAGGGATAGCAATTTCTCCTGTGAAACTTCAGCGCTATCTGGGCTCAAATTTAGATTGTTCTTCAACAGAAGAACATTACCTATAGCAAGCCCACATGTTCATAATCAAACACAATTCTGATTGTAATTCCCATCAAAACTTGACAAGAACGATCATTTGCATATATTTTATGAAATAATCCATTAGCAGAAAATGTACACATATAATAATCTTTCAAGATACTGAACCCAAAAACAGTATTTGATGCTTAGACAAGTGATCCTTTCTTTTCACCGAGAAACCATTCTAGAGAGAGAAATCACAAAATCCAAGCCTCCTCTACGATAGTTAAGAAAAAGCAGAGAAAGAAAAACTACACAAACTTAATTAACCAGATTGTCAGGTAGATTATATCTAATACAATTTTTTTGGTCCAGTGAAGTCAACTGCCAAATTTCTTGGCAACAGAACAATTCAAATGGCAAGCAATAAGCAATTCAAATTAATGTTGTGAAGTAATATTTTTCACGTTAATTTGCCAATTTACATAATTAGCAACTCGGAATTACACCTAGTAAATCAATTAATCCTAATTGCCTAAAAAGAATCTGCAATTCTGTTTGGCTACTGGGAAAATATCCAAAAATCAAATTACACTTATTGATTCAAACATGAAACTAATTCTTAACGCTGCCTAATCCAGTCATTTCCCTTAATCAAATTAGATTACACACTGAAACGGAACGAACTCATCTAATTTCTCAAAAACCTAATAACATTTCAATATTGCTTTTCATTTTCTTAACAAGAAATCAAGTAAAACAAATTCAAAACCCTAGGAAGTGAGCGAAAAAAGAGAGAGAAAAGAATTACAGATGGCAAGGAGAGGACAAGGTCCATTGTCGTTTTGGAGAACGATAGGAGTGGTACGGCCTAAGAACTGTATCGTTTTGGTTTTGTGAACGCACTCTTTCTCTTTCGCTGCTGCTACTTGTTGTTGTTGATCTTGATTCTGGTTTTGTGGTTCTTCGCTTCCAGAAGGAGAAGAAGTAGAGGCCATTTCTTTAATTCTTTCCTCCCTTTTTCTTTTTCCTTTGTTTTTCTTTTTTTTTTTTCTTTTGCCCCAAGAAGAGACTGGGTTGTGAAATTTTGATTTTTATCACGAGAGAGAGGGGTTAAACGACGACTCGTGATTGTGGAATTCTGTTATGGTAAAGAGAGAGGAGGTAGTTTAACATTAGTATTATCACTAGTAGATTGTTGTTTTTCTGTTTTGACGGTGATACCGAAGCTGTTGTCATTGGCCAATTAACGGTCATCCTAATTCGAATGGAAATTCTATATATCATATGTTAATCAAATATATATATATAAGAGTTAACACCATTTTGTTTCTATAAAAATAAAAAGATAAGTAGGCTATTATATATTCTTAAAGAACAATATTATACTCAAATCACTTCACTTCTTTTCTTTTTTTTTTTTACTGAAAAAAAACTATTGTATTTATATCAAATAGTTTAACATTGTTATAATTTTCGATTCCAAGTGTAAGTTGTTCGATATCGATTGGATAGAGCGAGATTCGTAGTTAATAAATTTAACAAAACAACGATATTGAACTCACAGATTTTACGTGGAAAACCTTAAAACAAATTAAGGGAAAAAACTACGGACAAGATAAAATGACTTTACTATGAGAAATAATAGAAGTTACAACATCTCTCTACACTACAAGGAGAAAACAATAACTTTTCTCTTGAAATAGGAAAAACACTCTCTATATTCTCTAGGAACTAATGTTTGTTTGATAGAGGATTTGGAGATTAAATCGAGGGCTTTCTCTCTTTTTGTTGTTTTTTTTTTCAATGGATGAAGGGATGTTAGCAAATGAGCTAGGGGGCCAATTTATAGGCCTCCCCTCGCATTGCACCGCCTCGATTGAGGTGGTGCAATATTGGTCACAACTTGTATGTTTCAAGCTGTGATCCAACTTGCTAATTGCCTATTTATTTTAACAATATCCCACTTGAAGATTTGATTGAGAGTCAATCGGATCTTCACACTATTCTTTCTATCTTTTCATTCCTATGTTGCTTATGTCTTCATCGAGTCGTAGGAGGATTGACACGAAATAAATTTATCGACATTGATTTCCTTCGTCGGAAAATCTGCTAGGTTGTCTTTCGTGTGAATCTTCCGTATATCCACAATTCCTTCTTCCACTTTTTCATGAACGAAGTGATGCTAAACTCGTATGTGTTTTGTCTTTGAATGAAAGGTCTGGATTCCTTACGAGATGTAAGGCATTCAGTCTGTCACAAAACAGAGAAATCTTTTTTTTATTTGTGCTCGAGTTCCTCCCATACCATTTTCAACCAGATTGCTTCTTTACTTGCTCATGTCGTTGTTACATATTATGCTTCTATTGTTGACATAGCCATAATTGATTGCAGTTTTAAAACCCAAGCTTACGACTCCGCTAGTAAGTGTAAACACATAACCCGTGGTTGATTTGCTTTTATCTAGATCATCCGCATTATCGGAATCAACATAGCCACCGACGATAAATTCGATCCTTTATAACATAATCCAACATCCGAGGTTCCTTGAATGTATCTCAAGATCCTCTTTATCCCATTCCAATGCTTTCTATTAGGATTCGCCATGTATCAACTAACCACTCCCACTACATGTGCAATGTCTAACCTTGTATAAATCATAGCAAACATTAAACTTCTCATTCGTTGATGCATATAATACTCGAGACATCTCTCGTTCGCTCTTCTTCATTGCTTAGGACTCATATTGGAGAATAACTTGAAAGTAATAGGAAGTGGGGTAAAAATTGGCTTACAATCTTGCATGTTAAAACGCCGCAGGATCTTCTTCAAATAATTCTTTTGTGAAAGCCAAATCTTCTTATTATTTCGTCTCGGTGAATTTACATCCCTAGAATCTTGTTTGTTGGTCTTCAATCTTTCATTTCAAATTTCTTAGCCAATTATGCCTTTAATTCTATAATACAATCTTTGTTGGGATCTGCTACTAATATGTCATCGATATATGATAGCAAAATAACAAAATCATTTTCACCATTCACGAGGGTCTACATTTACTATGTTGTATCCAAGGCTCATGATGAATGAATCAAATCTCTTACACTATCATAAAAAAATGAATTAGCAATGGAATTTAGCAACCGATTGCTTTCCATCGCTATTTAGCGATGGATTACAAAATAATATTTTTTACAAGGATTTAGTGACGGATTAACGAAGGATACTTAGCGACGGTTAAAAATTCATCGCTAAATAAGGTGGGGGAAAAAAGCGCCAAAATCAATGACGGAGTAACGATGAAAAATCGATTGCTAATTTTAAATATAAAATTAGCGATCAAATTTAGTCCATCACTAACTCTCGGGGAAATTTCCACTCTAAAGTTAGCGATGAAAATCCATTCCGTTGCTAATCAACGATGGATGGCTAGTCCATCGCTAATTAGCAACGGACTAGATCCGTCGTCGATGGAAGGGGAATTCCCCCAATCGGCGACAAACCGATCAACCGTCATCGATTGGGGGAAATTTCCCCTAAATGATGACGGACGACTCGTTCGTCACTCGAATAGGGAGGAAATTTCCCCCAAACAATGACGGATCGATCAATCCATCGCTATTTATTTTAGCGATGGACCGATCGATTCGTTGCTAATCAACGACGGATTGGATCGTCGTTCATCGCCGATTGGGAGGAAATTTCTCCCCTATTCAGCAACGGACAAGCTTTCCATCATCGTTTAGGGGAGAAATTTTCCCTCGATCAGCCGACGAACGACGGTCCGATCCGTCGTCGATTTGCAACAAACCGGTCGATCCGTCGCTATTTTGCTTATATATACCAACATCCCTCCTACTTCTTCATTTGTTTCCCTCACTTCCACTACACCTCCCTTTCCGGCGCCGACCAAAAAAACGACCACCCACGCCGCCCCACGCCACTAAATGTTTTTCCAAAACATTCAACAAAGTAAGGGATATCTTTCTTTCTCAAAATCGGATCATATCCGTGCTCTATATATATACTTAATCTATCGGGGAAAAATTTCTCTCTAACTTTTTTTTTAAGTTATATAAATATTGTATATTTTTAGTTAAATTTTGTTATTTTTTAGTTTATTAACTGTTTGAATGTTATTAATTACCTTATTATGTTAATTTGTATGCAGTAGTTTATATTTATTAGTCATTATTTTATTTTTATAACTCGTTAGATTTATTTTGCTAAGTTTTAGTTTATTGTTATTTTAGTTGTTAGGTTAATTTTTATGTTAATGTAAAGCTTAAAAATATAAATTTTATTAATTTTTAGTTGTTAGATTAAAATTTAATTTTTTAATCTTAAATTGTTAGTATGATTAATTGAATTAATTATATATATATATTTTAGTGTTATAGGTTAATTTTCTTAGTTGTTTGTTTAAATTTAATTTTGAAATTATATTATTTTTGACGTAGTTTAGTAAATTCAAATGAAAATTTTATAAGTAATTTTATTAGTTTAATTATTAAAATTAAAATAATATAAAATGTATAATGATTTGATTGGATCGAAAAACAATTAAAAAAAGTATAATTAAAAAATTAAAATAAACATTAAAAATTATAGAAATATTTAGATAATTAATAGAATTAAGCAAATATTTTAGTTGAATGTTTTCATAAATTATTTAGTTCATAATGTAATTTAATGTGTTTTGTTAAAAAAGTATAAAATTTCATGTATTGTAAATGAAAATGATAATGTAATTACCTTAAATTACCCGAGATAGTTTAAATTAGGTTAATTGTTTTGTTTAGGTTAGGTTAACGTTATTAGATATTGCACTTAAGGTTGAAAATGTTAAAAAATTACACAAAAAATTATTGAATATTAATAAATTAAGTATTTATTACAAAAATGCAATCATTCTTTATATAATTATTTAAATAGGAAGTAAAATTCAAAAACAAAATTAATAACTAATTACAAATAATTATATAACTAATATAATTGTTTAATATTTGTTTAAAATAATTCAGAATGATGATAAGTAATTGTTTGCAATGGTTATTTTATTTTTACGGTAATTTAAAAAATGAGACATGATCGACAATAGATGAAATTTAGATTAGTAAACGGATTGTTAAATGATGAATTTGTTAGAGGTGTGGAGCAATTTTTAGCTTTTGCTATTGAGCATCCTAAATGTATGGACGAAAGCAAAATTAAGCGTCCTTGTAATTTCGGTAAGTGTCAAAAACCGAAATTATGAAGAGATTGACACGGTCAAATATCATTTGTGCCGTAAAGGTTTTGTGTTGCGATGTTATAATTGGGTGTATCATGGTGAATTTGAAGCCTATAGACATCGAAAAATTTTAGGAGTCGGCATGTTTCGGAAATTATTATATAGCGGAAGGTAGTTCTAGTAAGCCCCAAAACCCATATCAAAGTATGGTAATGGATGCAACCGATCCATCCTTTGATTCGTCCAACACGGAGGAGGTTCCTAATCTTAGCACCTAACACTTTTATAATATGTTGAATGCATCATGTAGAGATATGGCCCGATTGTGAAGAGCATTCGTAATTGTCGATAGTTGCTCAAATGTTTAACCTAAAAGCCAAATATCATTTTCTAGAAAAGTGTTTCGATCATTTATGTGAGTTCATGAAGGAGTTGATGTCGGTTGATAACTCGTATGATACAAAACTTTTATGAAACAAAGAAGTCGATGAAGGGAATGGGTTTGTTGGTGGAAAAAATTCATTGTTGTGATAACGGGTGCATGATTTATTGGAAGGAAGATAATGAATTAGATAAATGTAGATTGTATCAACATCCTCAATATCGAAGTTCTCGTCGAGGATCGGGAAGAGGAAAACTTGTTCCAAATAAGAAAATGTACTACTTTTCTCTAACTCCTCGTTTGTAACTATTGTATACATCGAATATAACAACCGAGCACATGACATGGCATGCTGAACATGGGGGAGATGATATGGGAGTAATGCG